ATGGGTGGCGTTAAATTTCAGCAAGATAATGTACTGTGCACCCAAATCCGTGATTTCAATAAAGTGGATTTTTTGTAATAATACCGCTGTACTAGAATGGCCACTGAGTAAATGTTACTGAATGAATAGTACTGTTAATGAGTGAATGTGACTGAGTAAATGTTATATATGCTTTGTATATTAAGATAACTTTTTCTTGATATGTTATCTTAATATGCAAAGCATATATAACATTATATATATGCATAAATAAACATATATATTAAGATAACATTTACTCGTTAAATATGCTTTGCATATTAAGATAACATTTACTCAATTTCAAATTATGTGAATTTATGTATATTTATTTATGTATGTTAATGTAGAATTGTATTATGTAAATGTATTTCTTCGCTCAATAGGTATTTGCAATGATTATTTCTAGTTAATATATGTGAATCAATTTTAGATTGTTATAGTTCTATTTTATGTACATTATTATTCAAATCATAGTATCCTTTGTCTGTTCATTATTATCAAGGTATGCTTCACTATTATTGCTTTTCTTACTCATCAAATGCTACTGGTAACTCTTGAACAGTGACTGTTTTGAACTACTATTGTATGACTTCTTATAAAGACTCTATGTGGTTTCTTCTAGTCTGTTTACGATTCTTAAAATAGTAATGTTACAAATCACAAAGTCTGAAATAAGGTAACTCTACCTTTAACCTTTGTCTTTAAAGAAATACTTCTTGCTACTTGTCTAGCTTCTATTAAACGTACTATAACACAACTGCTTCTAATTTTTAACTGGAACTTTTGTAATTAGACTTTGTGTATATAAGCTTGTTCCCTGAAGACTTAGTAGGCTGGAACCGAGTTATCTTGTTAGTCTGTAACAAATCACAAAGTCTAAATAAGGTTCAAATAACCTTTTTAATTAATTTTTAAATTAGTAGAAAGGCACTTCTTGTGCGACACACGAATCTCCGCAGCTTGCCATCATTTAAAGTAAAAAAAAAAAAAAAAAATCTTAAAGCCTTCAGATTTTATATTACTCCCAAATGGGAGTTTTCTAACGTTTTGTATGTTACTTTTATTTATTATATATCAGCTTTTTCACACTAACCACATAAAACAGCAATATCACAAAATATTTAAGAACAGTATATTTTTAGAATTTCCGGTAGACAGTCTCGCGTGCTGGAGGTATATTTTTTTCTGCACAGTGTTGCTGTTTCTCACTTTGGAATCGTTAAGTCTGTTCAAAAAAATTCGTTAAAGTTTCACAAAATGTGAAATAGATAATAAAATAAATTTGAAATTAAAAATTCGGACTTCCAGGTGCCTATGTACGGAGGGAGGATTACATTATTCAAAATTTGATGGCTCTAGGTACCGTCGTTTTTTCATAATGCGAGAAACATACCTACATTCATTCATATTCTCCTTTATTTAATTTCTTTTAAAATAAAACAGGGCGATAATATTGGGTGGCAACAATTTGAAAAGTGATTCAGGCTTTTACAGTGATTTAATTTAAAATCCTGTTTTGAGAAATATAGCCCTTCTAGACAAACTCTTCTTTGGGTTATCAAGTTAAATTTCAGTGTAAATAACGTTGTGTGAAAATAAAGATAAAACATATTACTCAAGCTAGCTCACAACGTATTAACGAAGCTTATTTTAAATTGCGGCTAGAAAAATACTAAAGCCAGCCAGAAATAAATTTAGGCAGAGCTGGCGATAGTAAACAGCACCAAAGACGAGGATGATAGAAACTGAAGCTTCAAACGTTCAACCTCAGCTTAAATGCACGGAGAACTAATCTGCATTCTGGTGAGTTCTGCGAAAAGAAAAGGTTATAGTGAAAGATAAATCATAATAACTGGTTAATTAGCATAAAACCTTATATATTGACTCTACTACCAACACTACGTCATTAACTCTACTATTATTAACTTTCCTGCGTGAAAACTATTACTGACAGTTGCTTTAAAACGACTGTGGACTAGGATGACAATAGATTTTCACGAAAATGGCTACTTTGATAACAACGACTATAGATTATTATGCAGGCTTAGAATTTTATCTACATATTTTTAATTCTCAGTTATACCTTTCTTGAAGTTTCATACGCTAGCTTAGTATCACACTACGACAAAAGCAGCTCTGGGGGCATGAACCCAGTTCCTGCAGTCAGAAAGAGAAGCTATGCTCTCCCGGACGGTAGTGCTTTCAGCCATGGGTAGCGTGACAGATAATAACACGTGGTTAAATATTTTCCAATTCTTTCATTTTCTCTGTGCAGGTGGAAGTGGGGACCCTGGGTTGCCAATTCAGCGTTGAGGCCTTAAAAGAGAAAGCTCTTTTAAAACTTTGTCTGCTTCGGGATTGCGGTTCAGAGGTGCGACCAGTTGAGTTTGGATATTCTTTTCTCTCGGGGATTTTTGGACATCATCCGACACTCTTACGCAAAATACAGAGATAGTTCTTTGGATGTTACCTTAGTTGCAGGAAAGATTGAATGCTAGACTGACTGACTGATTATCAGGCGACATTCTCATGTAAAAAGTGCAAAATTCAACTTGCGATAGTATTTTTAACAAGTGAATGTATTTTTTCTGATTATATTACTCAAGCAATCTGTCTGTACTGTCGGTCTGCGACCTTGGTGGAGGTGGACAGTAGATGGCCTACAGACTCACACAGAATAACATTATTCCGTTTTGTTTTCAGCCCAGCTCAGAAACCATTCTCAGCGGCAATCACGCATTTTTTGTAATTTATTTTAGCGAGATAACTCTCTCTGAATAGTGAGATATAGTGAGATAATCCCTCTCTCTACACATACATATATATATATGTGTGTGTATATGTAAGAAAAAAAATATGTAAAAGATAAATTATAATTTAAATTAGCAACGTAAATTCTATTCTCCTCTGTACTCTAAAAATAGTAATCTATGTGCACTGCGTCATTTCGAGACTAAACCATGTCATATTTCATGTCATACTAAACCATGTCATATATGGAACTAAATCTCAAACACCCTATAAAAATTTTACAACAGTATTCATTATCCAATCAAAATCCATTGAGAACCAAAACTAACTCAATCTGAATTAAGATTCCACCATGGACACAACTCACTCGCTCGCTACTCTTCGGCCTAGCTCGACTACTGGCTGCTGCCTCCTTCTTGCTGCATAGTTATACAAAATGTAAAGCTCTTGAAATAGGCACAAATAGTGTGCCAACTTCTTTGTGGACGCAACACGTATACTGAAATAAAATGTAAATTTAATCTATTTCGGCTGCCGGTTTTCTATTTATTATGAATCAACATTTCGATGCCATCAAAATTCCTGCTACTTATTACTTCTAAGTATGTTTATATTACTTATATATAGAGAGAGACAGAAAGACAGAGAGAGGCCAGAATTAAAATGACGCCTAAAATAGGTTTTTTTATTCATGTAAACAAAATACTTTATAATATTTTAAGTATAACTATGTTTGATATTTTATGTAATTTATTTTATATTAAATCTTAGCCTTTCTTGCGAAACTCCGCTTTTCAGTTCAGAACATCTCAACAGGTGTCTGGCTTAAATAACCATAGGAAACATTTATTTTTTGTCTCAGTAAAACTATGTGTAGTGTGGAAAACTTGCTACATATTTATTTTACGTAAAAGGCATTTTTTGGTATGACATGTGGGAGAATATTTTGCACTGTTGTAGCTGAAAAAATATTTCAAAGCTTTCGAAATATTTTATCAGGTGACTTTCATATCTCAAAAGAAATACATGGAGTTAAAAATGCATTCCTGACGTTGAAGTTTATGAAAAATTCATTTTGTCCTGAAAAAGGAAGTAACTTCTTATAACAAAGTAACCATATTTTACTGTCAAGTTGTGCCATGATTTTAAAGCACAACCATGCTCTCGAGATAGAATGTATCTCATTATTACGTAAGAATTTCAGTCGACCAACAAAATAACTAGATGCACTCCTTAAGGACTGGAATAAATTCGTTAAGAAATCATTTCAGAGTATCGGTAAATTAAACTAAGCAATAAAAATTTAGTTTGCCTTTATGAGGCTTGCATATTATTGTAAACTGTGCAATTATTTGTGTTCGTTTGTTCATAATTTAGATTTTATGTCTTCTTATGAATTTTGTATATATATAAATTATTTTAGTGAAATTATATGTAAATTTTAGTACTCTTGTACAATATAACATGAAAGGTTTTTAGAATCCGAAGCATAGCCGGAAAAATAAGATTACAGGTTAAATGTATTTAACACTGATGTAAATAGCAATCTCGCCAAACTGGCGAGACAGGTCCAAGCTTGCGATGGTTTTGGAGACTAATTTTTGTCACCAAACTTGGTGAGAAATCGCCAAAAGTCTACGAACTTGAAGACTATTTGGCGATATTTTGGTCTGATCCGTGTGTAACTTTAACTCGTCTGTCTCCTATGTAACTGTATCCGGTCTTATGTTACTGTAACTGTGTATGCCTTCCATAAATTTCGAGAAGTCGAAACTACTGTCTACTGGAAATTTCTCGATGAACCAGGGAAAACTGTATAAGGCCAGAGAGAGCATCATTACTATTAAGAATCTAGTTCACAGTTTAATCGAGAGTTCTGAGTTCAGATTATTGAGAGATCCAGTGCGAGCGTTTCCTTTTTGATGTACTTTACACTGTCTTCTTTTCAACGTTTTTAGTACACTCGGGTGCGAAATTAAGAAAATTTCGCATTATGGCGAATTTTTCAAATCTAATACAGATTTTAGCGAAATTTAGTAAGAATAAACGTTTATAACAGAAAACGAGATGTAACATTGAAAAGTCACTTTATGTACACATGATTATCAATAAAACTCTTGGTGCAAGGATGTCCAAAATCCACGCTGTGATATCGAACTGGAAATGAGTCTAATATAGGGAATGGTCCTCTTTCATAGACAAACAGATTGTGCAGCGTGACGGCATACTTGACAGGAGACAGTTGGACGATCGTTGTCGCCCATTAACAGGAAACCAGGACTAACTTTGTACCTGAAAAGTTGAACATAGGACTCTAAGTTCTCCTCTTTGTACCTCATAGCAGATACAGGAGCGCCGAGAATCTGTGCCCAGACTGAATCTCGACTCATCTGTAAAAAGCACGGTGTTCCACTAAAGTATGATCCAAGGTGTAGGTTGTCTACACTATGCTAACCGTGCTGTCTTGTACTACAGTGAGCGGGACGCAAACAGTGAGTCTTCTGGCATACAGTTCTATCTCATAAATTCTCCGGGCAATTGCAGACAGTGAAACTCGGGTTTCAGTGGCAGCATACATCTCATGTCAGAGCTGTGAAGTTGTAACAGTCCTATGCCTTCGAGCAGCAAGAGTCAAATAACGGTCCTCATTCGTTTTTGTGTATCTTATTCAACTCTGTTAAGGTCTTCTCGACATGTATACAGTGTCCTGAAACTATTTGCACAAATTACAGACGAGACTGAGCGTTAAATTGCGTTCTGTAGTCATCTGCGCATGTGAATGGCGTGTCTCGACCCTACCGACGATTCTCATATCATTCTGTCACCAATATGTTCATGGCTATTCATTTTACCTAATACCATATAAAATTTACCTAACACTTGCGAGAAACATGGCGGTATCGTGAAGGAGTACGAACATATTAATCGCCAAAAAGCCCTCGTGCTCTTATATCCTCTTCAGACGTACAGCTTCGCAGACACACACGCATACGCTTACATATTCGACTCTGAATATTTACATAATTATTTGGCATAATTATTGTCTTCGATTCAATACTTTTAGTAAAAGTAGATATGTGTTGCTAATTCTCGAAATCTTGCACACAGGTGCAGTTTGAAATGGTAACTACTGATTGTGATCTGTCATACTGAGCATGCTGCACGATATTTTGTGTAAAATGTTCCAAAACTGCAAACTGTTCGTTAAAAAAATTATCAGTCTTTCATGGAATTCTGTATGCATTTAATCCATTACGAACTCGTATGCGCGTAACAGTAATAGTACAATGTGTTCTTTTATTTTTTTATTTATTTACTTACTGATTCCTTTAGTGTACTTTAGTAAGAATTTAGTTGCGCATTTTTCGTTTAGCAGAATTAATGGCCACTAATTGTGCTTGCAAGTTTTTATTTAATGTAATATATTGCAGAGTTTTATTTTATTAACCCATTATCTTATTATTTTTATATTTAATAGTTTCATTGGGTCACATCAGAACTAAAATTGGTTAACGTATATAAGAGTGGAGTTCATGAAATTAAGAGAGAGCTATTTTTGGCAGTGGCAGTTTACTGTCTCTCAACTATTTTTGCCATCTTCTAACCTCACCTGAATCGGCTTTAGCCTTTACTAGCCGTGTTGCTCGTGTGTTAGATAGCCTCGACATAAACTTACGGTAGCTAAAACTTACTTTTCCATATGAATCTACATTCCAGTTACTTAAGTTTTACCTCTACTTTTATGTTCTGTTAAATCCTGGAAGATGCGGTTACTTTACACGAAACAATTAAGTTGTTACTTTCTCAGAAAAAGATTTATTTAAAATAATGTTTTGAATTCGGTGCCAATTCGCTGTAAGACAAAGACGGAGCCACAAGTCGTCTGGCAGTCTACACTGGACCAAAATTTTACACTGAAGTATTTAATTTTCGTGTAGCAGTAGCAGCTTTTCTTAAAAGACGTTTGATTTGTTTCTGCCGAGCTAGATTATTTTACCTATTGCTTACGTTGTAGGATTCTCCGACTGTGTAATTCTAAGTTACTGTTGGAAGTGAAGAATCTTAAGAACTAGTAAGAGAATAATCGCTTGAGTTCGTGTGACAGGAAACAACAAAATATAAGGATTAAAATAAACCTTTATTATTCCAATTAAAGTTTAACAAAACTCCGGCATGGAGTTGTACAATAAAGCCGACACTTGGGTTTGAACTTAAGAGACTAAGAATTAAACTAAACTACACTTAACTAAAGAGATATAGCCGAAGCTATCAAAATTCTAACAGAGTTGGCTCCCTTAATGCTAATTGACTGCGAAGCTATCAAGTGCCTAAAGTACGGCCTAGCGTAATGACGAGAGAGTAGTAAAAAGAGGCGGACGTGTGCAGTCAGAATATCTGGTATCTCTCTCACTAAGACTGTGGAACTTCGCGGTTATACACCGCTCTTCTTCAATAGCATTCAGACGTGATTCTAAAACTAGGTTCTGGCCGGAAGTGGTAAGTTAAAATTAAGAATCGATAGGAAAGGAAGTTTAACTAATATTTAACTGTTAATAAAATTAATCCATTACAACGTTTTTATTCAATTTTCCATTGCCTAAATGATCTTACAACAATTACCATTTCCTATGATACTTAATATATTATATTTTTCCTTTGCAGTGTTCTGCACAGAATTTCTGAAACTAAGATTTTTTCGGAAAAAGTAACTATTTGTGCATTTTAATTTATGATTTTTATTTATTTATTTATTTATTTATTTTTAGAAATTATTTTTTACATTAACCTTGCCATTGAAAATAGAAGAAAATTATCTCAACACATGTAACAACGATCTGTAATCTTTTGCCCAACATCTCCCAAAAAATGCTTTTAAGATAAAGATTATTTTATTTCGATACATATCTGAGAGTATAACATTAATCTGTTATGTATGGATAAATCCATTACAAGGAACAAAATATTGAAGATGAATGATAATTTGATTAGGGGATTAGAAACTGCTTAGTGACAGAGCTGTAAGCAGTATCCTTCAAGATAGGCATTTAATAGCGCTTTTATAATTTCACAAATTAATATTTAATATGCTTTTGTACATTTTAATTTATATGGATATGGATATGGTGAAATGTGGTGGATACCCATTGTTTAACTATTGGCAATGTGGGTGTTGTCCAAGCACACTAGTTATCCAGATAATTACACCCAACAAGGCTCACGGGAGATCTTGCCAGGCGTTGCTTGCAATGCATTGTATATTTTAATATTGTACTATTTAATATTTCATATGCTTTTATACATTTTAATTTCAATTTATAAGTCCCCCCTTCCAGCATGCTTTCGTGGTGTAACGGTAGCACACTCGGCATGTATTCCAGAGTTCTAGGTTCGAGTCTCGGAGGGGAATTTGCTCATTTTCACCCCTTCCTGCTTCAAAATAACCTAGTGACTCTACAGTAGCGCCCGAACTAAAAGGTGGTGGAGGAGGATTCTTCACCACCTGGATTTGGCGATTGAATCGCTTAAGCCCCAATCGCCTTTCAAAAGGGTATTTTCTCCCTCTTTCCAGCATGCCTTCGTGGGGTAACGGTAGCATACTCGGAGCGTATTCGAGAAACCCAGGTTCGAGTCCCGGCGAGAGTATTGCAAGTTTATTGCGTCTCCTGCTTTAAAAGAAAAAAAAATTAATGAGTTTATTAAGTTGTTAATTATCTTAATAGTTTATGTCTGAAAGTAAGGTACAGATAAATACAAGATAAAGTACAGTACAGATATAGAATTATATTTTTTTATAGTAAAGGGATTTCGTTTAACTATTTAGGGAGCGTGTAAAATAATTTTGTAAAAGAATTTAGTTTTCAGAGCTTTTTTAAGATGTGGTAAAATATTCTGCAAATGATCTTTGTTATTTATCTGACTTTTACATGTTTTAATAAACGAATAAAAATCTAAAATTTTTCCTCAATTTATCACAAGTGTACAACTAAAATCATATTTATATTCCAGAATGAAGGCTCGAGGTTTTCGTAACTAATCTAATCATCCGAAAAAAACAGCCATTTTGCATTCAAATTAAATGTTCAAATGATTTAGTTTCTGGCATCCACATATTGAATAAAAAAAGAAAATTTATTAAGCACTAGCTTCGCACCTTGTAGATACAAGTCTGCAAAAGCCTTAATAGATGATTTATTATGACAAATAACATTAGTTAATGTGTTTTACAAAACCAGGGCAGCGTGAAAATCAACCATCTCCGATATTGGACTTGCTTGCTTTATCGATTTTTGTACAAGTGACAACATTTGATCTCAGCACGACCATCTATCATCGTTTGGCATCTTCATCAATCCTCGTCACGTGGTTAAGGAACATGCTGCGATTGAGAAAGGATTTGGTTAGTGTTTCTCCTCTGACAATCACTGCGGAGTTGGGCAAGGAAAACACTTTGTATCTTGAAAATGGTAGATGGAGCGTTTTTCGTGGGTATTCTTAGTTGGATAGAAAACAGTGACTGAGATGGAAGTTTAATTGACATACAGTTTGAAATAACAATTGTCACATGTTGATTTAGAATCGCACGTAACATTTAGAGACAGAAATTTCCTCTACTAGCTGAAGCTTTGTTGAAATTCAGACATATTTATTTATTTTACCAAACAGTCCTTGAGGTAGCCTAAGGCAGTTTCATTGTTATCTGAACTGTTATTACGATATTATTCTCTTTATATATGCCACGGCGTTTGGCGCATATTTGTAAATACATGATTGGCATTTATATGAACATTAAATATTTACAAACCAATAGCTAAGTCATTTAAAATCTCGCTGTCTTCAGGTATTATAAAATTATTTTTAAGAAGTATTTATTCACTTTCAGTTTATGTAGACTCGAATAATCTTCTCAGAAGTATTGATTCATACTTCTTAGATAAGCTGATCTTTATGACTTGTATAATTATATGTACTTTCCGAGAACCTGCCGCGATATATCCTTAATAGGATTAAGACCTAGGCTATGTAAGGCTGACTACAGGCCGAGCATTAAAGTAGCTGAACACTGGTAGCTAGCTTACGGGTTCAAACCCGGTGAAAGGGCTGGCTGCATGGTTTTTTCCGTTGTTTTTCTGGTGTAATGTATGCGAGGCAGTTTCTCTCAGAAAGTCATTTATAAAGGCATATTTAACTTTAGATAGCCCTCGAGTGCTTCCCTATAATTAAACAAACCAAGACAAGCCTAGGCTATTTAAGGTAAAAAACTTGGCTTCAATTTAGCGAAGAGGGTAAATACTGAGCATACATACAGGTCATACCTGTGTGTAGCTTGGCAATATATTAATTATATAGCAAGCTTACATGTGAAGAAGTTCGAGCCACCAAAGATGAAAAACTCCTCAAGGTATGCATTGGTATTGCCATTACATGCATAACGTAACGCTAAAAATTACAATGCCTCCAAACTTAAATAGTGACTTAATGTTTCCCATAGTTTTTATTTCTTAAAGTTTGAGCGAATTCATTGTTCAGTTGGAAAATGCTTCTTGTTTAGTCTTTCATCTAAACTGAGCTATGTAAGAAACACGCTCCAAAGTTAGTTAACGTATTTTTGTCCTATTAGTTCACATTTTGCTTTTGTCTTTGATATTCATTGTCTTTGACAGATTAAAAATGCTTCTGTATTCTTTTTCTGTAAAAATGCAAGCGCCTGTATTCATTTCTTTATGTAGAGTCTGTATTTTTTTCCGTCCATATCAGGCAGTCGAATATATAAGCTAGTTATCAAGATACAGGTATGAAAAGACCACGCAACATAGAACTTTTCTAGATGTTGGTCCAACAATATCTGAGTAAGTAAGAGTTTCTGGTGGTTCGACTTGAGTACAAACACCGGTGAATGTATTGACTGCATGGATGTTTTCATAGGTTTACTCATGTGCAATGTAAATATTTATTAGCTTACTTTGAATCGTCTTCTGTAAAGACGCTGATGTTTCATCCTAGCGTGCTTAGCATTCATTGAAAATAATCCAAAGAGCTAGTTTTAGCACTAGAAGCCTACAAATGATGCACATAAGTGTGAAAGAAAGAAATCTTTCATTGTATTTGAAAACAGTAGATTCAATCAAACTTAATTTGAGAGCAATCTATGACATATTTAAACCATTTAACTATATCTGGAAAATTATATCAGGTATGTGCAGTCTTGATCTCTATCATCTCCTTTTTCAGAGCTATTCACAAGGAAACGGCACCGGTCTTACGCTACCTTTCCTTGTATATTCATGACTACGCAAGAATAAAGCCAAAACTTAATTCGGTATACATATAAGAAAAAAACTCTCTAACTGTGACAAACTGATTATTTATGCGATTGGGTAGAAATAATTCTTCCAGAAATGTCGTGAAATGCTGTTAATATTATATTTATACAAAATTTCAAGTCATAGCTATTATTAATTGACAACGTATTTCTCATAAACACAAGGGAGTTAGAATTTTCTTATTCCTTGCAACAGTTAAACATTATATGAGTTTAATTTACTATCACCTTATTACAGTTTGAATGATATATTACAGATATTTCTTGGTTGGCAGTGAATTATCTATGTACAGTGATATACTTCTTACATTTTTTTTATTTAATTTACAGAAAACATTGTAAACTTTAAGATCTGATATCCTGTTAAATTAATTTCAAACTCTAAATCACTAAATGTTTTCAATTAAGCAACTTGACAGTATGATTTCTTTAAATAATGGTTTAACCTTTCGGAAAATTCTACCGACTTCAAAAACGCTCAAACTACGAGTATATTTTTAATGTAATCGTAAAATTCTCTTTGAGTAATTAGGCAATAATCTGCTGTCGATTATCTCACATGTCGGACCTAATCAGAACAAATTCACGAATTTTATCGCGGCAAGGAGCACATAATTGCGTCTGTGGATGGCACATGTCTTGAACTCCATTTAGGTGACAGCATGACTTTGACTTCGGCTTAGTCCTAATCATTATTGGCAACTCCCCGGGGGACGGGTCTGAGGGTCTCCCATTCCTTTTACCTATCACCAAAACACTCGACAGGACTTTCGGCATTCCGTATATTTTGAGTGCCCTCATGCCGCAAACACACTATAAACTTATAAACATCCATGCCTTTACCGAGTTTCGAATCCGAGCCCAGCGTAGGAGACAACAATTTGGAGCATTAAGCACTATACTAATTCGAGTGGCAAGCTATAATAAGAAGCTTTTTAATATATATAATTTCGTGTTTCAATGGTTTTACATTTTTCAGGTAGGTGGTTCATGAGAGTCCTCTATGACATAATATATTTTCTGTAAATATGACATGGCTTGAGCGATTTAATAACTAAAATTATAGAAAATTATGGTATTTCCCCATGTGTAGTACTGTTTCGGTGTTCGGTCTATTAAAGCATGTTCAGTTAACAGCTGGCATAACTTGGTTCCAATCCAGAAGAGGCCACAGTTAATTTCTCGTGTTTTCTGTTCATAATGCATAATAGTCTCCACATTAGTATTCGAACTAAAATCGGCTGATAATGAATCGCCATTATTTCGATTTGTTCAAATGAGTCTGATGCTTCCCCTAGGTTACTATTTTATTGTAGATGAATATAAAAACTTTCATCGCGTTCTTTCGTGCGTACTTTCATGCGTAAATAGTTAACAGGTCTAACTGGTAGGCTGAAGATTCATGATCCAAACTGAGTATAGTTAATGTTTTCATGTTTGCTATTCCCAAACGTTTAGTAGATTGTGGAGTTACCAATGTGCTTGGTTATAACACGATTTCGTGATACTGCAAGCGGCAGTATTTCGCTTAGTAAAATAAATTATTAGCCATCTCCGCAGCATAATAAATTTAATATTTTACCAAAATAATTAACATGAATACATGCTGCACGCGAGTATCAGCGAGTCTATTGTATACATAAAGTTCCCTTTTAGTTAAAGTTTCAGTTAGAAAGTAGATAAGAGTTCAAAAGTCCAGTTGCTGTTAATGACTAAATAAAGAAAAGAGTATTTAAATAGTATAAAAATTTATTGTTTCACTGTTGCTTAAGAATTAAATATAAATCTATTGATATTTTATAGAGTTCAAGTTTCTACTTGAAGAAGAACTTTCGTAAGCGGAAAGCAGCTTTGAAATACCATTATCATAGTTTTCATTTAAGACATGTATTCAATAGGAATATGAAATACTCACCTCTTCGCCGTTTACTTTCCATTGAAGAAAGGAGGGAGGTTTGGAGGGAGCAGACATACATGTGACATTCAAGTCGTCCGCAATAGAATATCTGGAACGAGCTCCGAGAATAGTTGGTCCACGCTCGGGCAAAACTATAAAGGAAAAGTAAGATTTAATCGGATTTTGCTTCCCATTTCCTTCCTCGTTCAGTGCTGTGGTGGTATATTGTAGATAAAATGTAATTTCAGGCATTTAACAAATTTGCCTGAAAAATATAGTAAATCAAAGTCATAACTCATGTCCATATATATTGCCTTAACTTTTATTATATTTACAGAATTTATATTCTTTTAAAACAGTGAACTTCATAAACATACTTCATTATTCATATTATTGTGAAACCTTTATCATTCTAAAAGAATAAAATATTAAAAAAAGGGAAATTCATTAATGTTGCTTTCATTATACGCAGGAAATAAAAGGAATATAATTATTCCATTATAATATTTTACTAAAGAATTTAAATACAAGAATATGATATCACCGTACACAAGCATTTGATATCACGGATTTTAAACACAAGTACACTCATATCCATATTTATTCTCCCATACCCCAAAATAATATTTCATGATATATCCAATCAATGCAATCTGCAGGGAATGTATGAAAGCATTATCTAATTAAAAGCGATCAAACGATTTCTGCTAAGCAAAACAAGACGTTATGTCATCTGACGGTGAACCAATATCAAAGCGAATTTCTGAAGAACAACTTTTGATTGCAATGTGCAACGACTTAAAGAGGTTTCCTATAGCTCCGAAGTATCATTTCGGAGGAAAGTATGAAGTGGTGAATCAGTAGGCGTTTAGAAGCAGAGCAGACAACATGGAAAAAGGGAGATGAATGAATATTTCAAGGCAGGTAGTCTCTGTGCTACGGAAATCATTTCAGAAATATAGAACTGTTTAAGAAATATAGTTATAGAAATATAGAATTGTTTAAGAAATATAGAACTGTTTTAAGTGTGTAAGCAAGCCTGCACTTCGTATTGCGTATCGTTTATAAACATCATCGAATCAAGACAACTCATCAAGGGATTTCCCCAACTGGTTTTCTTCCTATTCTACGTTTGGAGTTCGAAAGTGAAGTTCGGTCCTCGATCAGTAACTATATTTTATGCGAGTAAGATAAGCATGAATGATGGCTTCAGCATTGTGTGAATTCGTCAACCTCGGGGTTCACCAGACATAAGTCCACACTTTTATTACAGTAAGGAGGCATACGTAAAGTCACAAACTAATAAAAATGCCCCTCAAGGTCGATATTTGGTAATAAATGCCCATTGAAACATGTAATCTACTGCTCAGCAGTAAAGTTCAGAATTTGCAGCTTACACTGGAACTGTTATATTTCGGTAAACCATATACGGAAGGTTTAACGCCTTTATTTCAGAAAACCAAGAGTATGCATTTCACTACCTTCACAAGAGCAGAGGGATCGTTTTAGTTGATGCAAAGAATATCAGAATTGGAGTGAATATCAGCACTCCAATGTTCTCCTGATGAGTAGAGGTTAAGTTTATCTGATTTTGAATGTGTCTACTCCTGGAGGGAATCAACAATGCGAAATCTTTCTTCGGACATTAGGAAACATAACCACTTCGGTAATACAGGTGTGATGATATGGGAAGGAATAACAATCGATGGAGGGTTATGGATCGTCCACGGTTTCAGCAACGGATCTGTGACTACTCAGAAATATCGGGATGAGGTCTTCGCACCTTATGAAAAACTTTTCAAAAATGTATGTGGATCTGAGCTTTACGTATGAACCACAGTGTTTCTTAAATTTTTCCTTAGTACTTATGAACCATAATGCTCGTCCACAATGAGCAAACCTCGTTCACAAATTCATTGAAAGTGGAGATACTGTACGAGTGCCATGACCAGCGAAGTCTCTGATCGTATCTCGTTAGAGAATTTCTGGGATTGCCTTTGAAAGACAGTTGCATTGGAGACATCTTTCTCCTAAACTTGTCAATGCCCTGAAGACCGTATTACCGAAGGAGTGGAAATTAATTTTCCAAACTGCGGTTAACACCGTTATTGCCAGTATGAAAACATGTTGTGATATGTGCGTAAGAGTCAGGGAAGACCAAATTCGATAGTAAATTCTTAAACCTCAATTTGTTTTAACTCTCTTTGTAACATATTACTACCATTTTTATTCTTTCATGCTATAGTTTTACTTTTTCTTTTGTATTTATGTGTTATGATGTTATGTGTCATTCCACGCAAATTCATCAGATTATATTTCATAGGAAGTAAGTGTTGTTAGTTACGAGAGTGTATTTGTAATTAATATTACATTTAATAAGATTAAATGGATATAATACGTTTATTTGTTTCATATAAAACACCGCAGTCTGGCTCTATTTGCGTTATAAAAATACCGAAATCTGATTCAATGACGTTAGGATATTTCTTATTCGATATTCCCTTTGCTTTTTATATTTGATTTTTGTTGCTATGTAGACTGTAAAACTAAAAGTGCCCAATTAATTTTATTGCTCAAATATGTGCTTCTGGGATGTAAATAATCTTATAATTTATGTAGTGCAACTTTTAATCTCATGATATATTGTTTACTTGTAGTTACACAAAATTTCAATGCATTTCCTTCAAGGATACCTATGCATTTCAACAACATTTGTTTAAATTATGTTGCTTGTCCAGTCTTCCCGGGCTTATGGTGCACAAATAGTAGACTTCCTCCTCCAGCGGACGCGCGATAACAGATTAAGTATAGTAGCAAGCCTGTCATTCTCATGGGGTTGCAGAGGCAGAGATATAGATTATTTAAATAAACAGTGGTGAAAGGAATTTAAGATGCTTCCAAGTATATTATAAAATTCGGGATGATCTGCATTAATCTGTAATTAAAATAAATATGTACTTTTAATTATTTGTTTTAGGTATTTAGCTATGAGATCCATTACACATTTAATTTTTTTTTCATTGAATTTTGATTTTGGTTTGTCGAAATCCTAGAGAAATTGTATGGAACTCTAGGGCCACTGCACTGACGGATATTCGAGGTTCTTCAAAACAGGGAAATCTGCGTAATTTTTATGAGATAAGTTTTTTACTATTATGTCTTATGTCAGAAAAGAAAAAAATAAAGGTTTCTGTTAGACAAAATAAGGCTTTTTTTTAAAATTCATATGTAAAAGTTACAAAAACAACGACTAGATGATATCAAAAGTTTCGGTTAATTCAATTTCAGCTAGCAATACGATGGTAATTAACTAAGCTGCTCGTACTGGACTAACTGCGTCCTTATTTTTAAATTTTATTTACTCCAATCTATTGAGTAGAAGGTTTTGGAAATTTTCTAAATATTCATGGACATTTTCCGTTTTCGAGGGCGTTCAGAAAGTGAGCTCCGCTAAAATTTAAAATGGATTCGTCGACGTAGTAATTGTTTTGATCTAATTGATTTGGATTTGGGGTGTATGGGCTCTAGAGCAATAATAGTGAAAGGTTTCAGTAAAATGGGAATTATCTATTGCTGAAGATACAGAGAAGTGTAAATGAAGATATTATCAGATATCGTAATGCTAGTTTCGCTAAGTATTCTTATTGTAACTCAATAATAATTGTAATAATTGTATTGTAATAAACTCAATTTTGATATCATGTACATTCACAGTATATCGAATAAGTTTCAGTTTAATGGCTATTAGCTTCAATCTACCTGAAGAGTGATAGTCCTCAAACAATGCGATACTTATAATATCAACAGTTTCACAAATTACGTCTTTGAGGTACACTAAATCTTGATGTGCTTTTCCAACGACAATAACCTCAGCTTACACTAAAGATAAAGCTACAAAATGTTTCTTTTAACAACACAATAATATAGGACAATCATTGAACACAATTACACAACCAGATGTAGTTTTCTTATTATTAAGATCTCCCAGTATGCAACTACATATAAAGACAAATGAAAAATATTATTACATCTTGAATACGGTAATATCAGCTCAGATATTCCTTCGAGTTCTTGAAGTATTTCCTTAAAGCCACACCAAACATAGTCTTTTGGTTGTTCTAGTAACTAACTTAAATAATTAATTACGAAAAAAAATATGGGGGAGTCATGTAAGCTAATTATAGTAAAGAACCAAACAGTTCTCTTTCGATAAGATAATTTACAGGATGCCTTTTCGAAATCAACAGACGCAGATTAATTTCAGTTGGAGTATATAACGTTTAGCAATCCAACAGGTTGAACTCGTCTTATAAGGGTAAAATATAAGGCACTTGATCTAATAACAATTAATTTTGTATGAAATATATTCGAACTCCTAGAAATTCAGAATTTTTTCCAAACTTAAACAGCTTGAACTGTTTAGTTGACATTTCAATAATTACATTAAGTCCGTGATAATTTGACAGAGAAATAAGTAGATCATCCACGCAAAAACGATAATTATCTTCAAAGCGCTCGTTTAGGGGATAAACATACAAGGCTCTCATTATTTAACAGTTTGAAACTTAATTTTACTACGAAACTGAGAATTTTTTACACCACTCTCACGCCGCGTGATTCAGTTTGTTTAAACTCCTTCTAAGTTTGCAGTTTCTATTACTGTTGTCATTGTAAACGTTTGGCCAACCCATGTAAATAATTCCTTTTAAATAATCATTTAAGGAAGTAACTGTTTACCTATTTCGCTGAACAATTTACTTCTTGGAACTGCATTTTGCTGTTAAAGGGGTAAATAAATAAGAGGCTTCCGTTAGATTGAATCAGGTTTAATTAAACACAGAAAAAAGTAAAATAAGAACAAAGCAATAGATAACATCGGAATTCTAGAGGAACAAAATGCAGCAAATAACAATTACTAATACAGGCAGCCCTCGATTTTCGCACAATTCGCTATTTCACACATTTTAAAAAATTCATTTTTTTAAGGAGACGTTTGTGAATACAGTAAGACCCCGCTTAACGCTGTTTCGTTTAGCGCTGTTTCGGTTTAGCGCTCTTTTATTTCAACCCGGGGATTCTATGAAATCGCTCGCAGCATACGGGAAATCCCCGAATATTATGCAGCGATAGGTTTCAAATACATATCCGAAAG